AATTGTATCAGTATGCTATCCAGGAATTTGGGTATCGCTCACTGGTAGTGTACTGCCTAGCATATAAGATGACCCAGGTTTTTTTTGTTTGTTTTTTTTTTTTTAAGACAAAGGGATAAATGCATGTGATATGCATGCTACCTAACTTTTTTTCATAGCCAAATACTCTCAGGGACTGGAGGTTGGAAGCACAGGCTGCTCTTCCAGAGGACCTGGGTCAGATTCTAGCACCCACATGGCAGTTCAAAGCCATCTGCACCTCCAGTCCCAGGGGCTCTGATGCCCTTTTATAGGCACTGGACATGCATGTGATACACAGACATACATGGGTTAGGGTTAGGATCCTTGAAGGGATTTCTGAACCCAAGTTCAGTCTTCCATCTCTTGCCAAGGGAGAAGTTTTGCTCCACCACAGGCTCCAAGCATAGGTGTAGTGTAACCTCGCCTTAGACACAAAAGTAATACCACCCCATCAAGGCCTACAACTTCCAAATCTGATAGCCAAAATAACATTTCTCTTTAAGAGTCAGTAATCTCAGCTACTTTGTTATGTAGACAACCAACAAGATATCACCTCTCATATGAAAGCACATAAAACCACACATGGTCAGCAGCCAGATAAAAAATTATCCAGTCATAACCATTAAAGAACAAGCTTTATTATAAGCCATCCAATTTTTCCTTCTTTTAAACTAATATGTAATTACATGTTAACAGCAAAAACACATACTCCTATACTCCTACCAGTTAGGATATTACCTCACTGCGATTCTAAAGTACTTTCTAACGCTGTTTCTTAAAAATATGAAATTAAAATTTCCATAACAAAGAATTCTTAACTACTAAAAACATGTTAAAAATCAAAGAGCCATGTAATTCTGAATGCTTTCTCTTTTTTCTTTAAAACTGGGTGCCAAGAAACGGAGGCCAAAAGTAGAGCAACTCATTGTGAATGTACTGGCTTCTAAGAGCCTGTTTGCAGGTCACTCAGCTGGAACTTGGAATACATTCTTCCATTGAAACAATGTGACAAATGGTCCTTCTTTCCCAGGCCTTCCTACCCAGCCTCAGAGGTCGTTTAAAAAGACAGTGAACAGTAGATACTTTAAAACAGACAAACACAAAACGCTCTCAGCAAAATTGATACATACGTTCTCTTCTTGTCCAATTCTTCCATGGTCTCTCCATATTTGTATGTAAGCCTGATAAACTTGCTGCTCCTAAAGAGTAAATCTCCCAAGACAGCAGCATTAAATTAAGCTGCACTTCCCATGGCTACAAGCCATTCTAATTCCCATGGCTATAAGCCACTCTATGTCCTCTAAAATAATTTGCTACTGATATTACATTACAAAATCAGCATTTGTACTTATTGTTTTTAAGACTTTGGGGGCTAAGACTAAAACATTTATCTAGTATCTGTGAGGACCTGGGTTTAACCCCCAGCACCACACTTAAAAGAAAAAAAAAAGAGTTCTGATTATAGTTTGGTATGGTGGGGATGCTCTTAGGCCCCTGAAATGACAGTGGGGATGGAGTCTGTGTGTGTATGTGCAAATGCATGCACCTACTCCTTCCTGGAAAGCACCAGTCTAGGCACTGAGAATACAATAAAACATTTTGAAGGGAAAACAATTAAAGGGCAAGAATGACAAGTGACAACCAGAAACCATAAGGACCTTTAACTAAGGAATGGAATGAGAATGGGGAGGTGACCCAGTCAAGAAGACAAGAGAGGTTCAAACAGAACGAAGGACTGAAGTGGAAAAGACCAGAACAGCCATCTTTAAAGAAGGGGATTGGGAGTACACCCCTATCCTGGTGTCAATGGGGAAAGCCTGAAGTAAGCAGGTTGGTGGTGTGTTCAACATGAGGCCTGGAAAAAATGAGCATCTGAGGTTACGGCTATCCCCTGACCAAGCTGAAACTCGAATAATCTAGGCACCTGAACCAGTAAGGTGCCTAGGCAGGTAGCAGGTTACCAGGTCTGTGAACTCCAAGCCATACAGGACTCCATCATCCTTCCTCCCACATGCCCTGTGGACCAAATCCTTATTCCACTTGGTCCCCTTCTCCACGTGCTGTATGCCACCACATCCCCCCACCAACCCTCACTGGAAAAGCAGAGGAATCAAGCATTGGCATCAAAGGGATGGAGACACCCTAGGATGGATGCAAAGAACAAAGCATGCAGGAAGAAATATAAACCCAATGGCCTACTGGACCTAAGCTCAGAATCCCAGCTACTCAGGAGGCTGAAGCAGGGAGACCACAGATCCAAGGCCAACCTGGACAACTAAGTGAGGCCCTTTCTCAACAGAAGTGTGGAAGAATGCCAGGGATGCAGTTCAGTGGTACAGCACATGCCTAGCATTTATGAGGCCCTCCAGGTCCAATCACACGGACAATCAATCAATAAAACAAACTCCCTAGTTAAGGTGGAGAAGTCCAAATCAAACACGTTGAGAGCTTGTTTGGAGGTGTGTGCAGCTTCATACACCCTTGACAAAGACCGACCCTCCCTTATTAGGGAAGATCTTCTTTTTTACCAACCACACAGCTTTGGAAGGGATGCAGTTGGGGTGGTGAGGAAGGAAGAAACACCTGCCCAGCCATCTAGAGCCATCAAATCAACCCTGGTGGTCAATGGGCTGAAGGGTATCCCCACCTGATTATCCTCATACCTAAACACATTGGGAGACTCTTGAGTGGAATGATCTCTAAGCAACGAATCAAAACAAAACAAAAGAAAACCTGGCTTCTCTGCTAGCCAGAAGGCATGTGTCTTCAGGAAAGTCACTCCAGCTGTCTACCATTTGGTCTTTTTCTTGGGGCCTGGCTTCCATCTGGCTGCCCCCTAAAGCAACAGAGCATCATTTCCCGCTCTCGCCTAATGTCCCTGTGTACACAGTCCTAAAGCAAGAGGAAAGCAATGCAAACAACAGACAGGCATCTACAGATGATGAGCAGTGGCGCATACTCTAAGCCGTGTGTCACCTAAACACTTCCAAGGACCACCTTACTGCTAGTAAAACCAGAACATGATTCTAAGGTCATTTTTTGTCTCCTTATTGTGTCTTCTCTCTAGTTAAACTATCTCAAAGACGAGGTATTTCCCAGGATAACCCAACAAAACTCTGTTTATTCTCTGATGTTTATTCATTTGACTTAAAATCCTTAACAGGGCTGGGATTCTGGCTCAGTGGTAGAGCATGTACCTAACAAATATATGACCCTGGGTTTGATCCTAAAACAGTGTCTAGTCCAGTGGCTCTCAGCCTTCCTATAATGCCGTGACTGTTTAACACAGTCCCTCAGGTTGAACTGACCCCAACCATAAAGTTATTTTTATTGCTACTTCATAACTGTAATTTCGCTAGTTGTGGATTGTAATGTGAATATCTGTGTTTGCCAATGGTCTTGGGCAATCCCTGTGAAGGGGTCATTCAACTCCCAAAGAGGTTGAAACCCCAGGTTGAGAGCCACTGGCCTAGTCCAAGAGAGTATAGATTCACAATGAGATTTGGCTCTGGCCCTGACCTTGGGCTATGAAGTAAAGGCAGTCTGTGAATGAAGCATTCTTCCCCAGTGTTCATTCCCATGTCACTGCATTAACTTCAGTTACAGACAGTATTTTATTTTTCTATCTTAAAAATATCTCAGTATAAGGTCACTGGTTGGGGGGGAGGGGGAGCTTCAGAGATGGCTCAGCACTTAAGAGCACAGCTGAGCTTCCAGAGGTCCTGAGTTCAATTACCAGCACCTACAACCACCCTTCAAGATCTGGTGCCCTCTTCTGGCCTGCAGGCATACTTGCAGGCAGAACACTGGACACATAATAAATAAATCGTAAAAAAAGAAAGAAAAAGAAAAGACAAGGAGGAAAGAAAGAAAAAGAAAAGATCATTGGCTGATCCCATTTTCTGCTACTTACACAACATTGATTTCTTTTTTTTTTTTTTTTTAGATTTTAATAGATTTATACTGAGTTTACTGAGTTTGCCATGCAATCTTAAATTGGAACAGGTTGAATATTACTAATCCAAAAACATAAAATCTAAAATGTTACACAGATCTACACTACAATGCAAGGGGAGATTGTTCACATCTGATATCATTTGGTTGTAGTCAAGACCCAGAAGCACTAGACACCATACACTAGATTACCTTCAGGGTATGTGAAGAAGGGAAGTATGGAAAACAAATGTTGCTGTTCAGACATGGATCTCACCCAAAGATTCATCATGTACATACAAATACCCGACCAGTCAAAATCCAAACTAGTCTAAAATGTGTCACATTCCTGCTCTCTGGCATTTTCAGCAAGGGATAATCAATGAAGAATGTTTAAAGAAACAACACTGCAATGATTCCCATCCTATGAAGGTCCGTGAAGCAAGAAGCTCCATTTCCCATCCCCCCATCCTCTTTTCCCACAGGCTCACTGCCCTCATCTTCTAAAGGCCTCCTCCAACACACTGAGTCCCCAACATACTGAGCGAGACCCTAGGAATGATCTTCACAAGGACCACAGAGTACGGCTTTTAGATCAACCAAATCAACCCTGCTGATCAGTGGCTGACAGACATCACAGCCTGATTACCCTCACAACTGAACACATTGGGTGACTCTAATGGAATGATCTCTAAGCAACAAATCAAAACATAAATAAATAAATAAAATAAAAGGCCTGGCTTCTCTGCTGGTCAATCACGTGTTTTCAGGGAAGTCACTGACTTCTGTGGACTTTGTCTCCAAGGGTCTGGCTTCCACCTGGCCATGCTGTCATTAAATGTGATTACTGAAATGATTATTTTTTCAAAACTATTGTATAAACAACTTTCTATAACTTACATGGAAACTTTCCCAACATGGCCCTACTAAAATGTTATCAAAGACGGCTAGAATCTGAAAGCAAGTGGGCCAACAAACATTTAATATATTTTAAAGATGGCTTAGAATAAAACTTCATAGTAAAAATGTTCTTAAGAAGCTGTCACCTTTTTGTTGGTGATCGGAACCGACAAGAAATAGTTGGGTTGATAATTTTTTGGAGCTCTTTTCCTCTTCTTTATGTGATCATTCTTGATGTCTTCATTTTCTTTGCTTCTCTTTGAATTCATTTGAGGTACGTCAGTGACTACAGGAAAACAAAGTGAGAAAGTGTCTCACACATTTAAACAAAGATAGCCTAGTGTAAAAAGAAAGAAGTCACAGTATATATAATAAGCAGCAATCATGTATAATTGTCATTTTCAAATCTAAAGCAAGAATCAGCAAGAACTTTCAATAAAGAACATAATTGCAAATGGCTTAAGCTTTGCAGAACATAAGGACTGTGTTGCAGCTACCTAATTCTAACAAAACAAATAGAAGGATATATCTGTGTCCTGATAAAACTTTATTTACAAAAAAAAAGGGTCAGGCAGATTTAAGCCTTAGAGCAACACTAACAAGCATTCTCTACTACAAACCAAAGGGGTTTTTCCCTCGTTGCTTTGTTTTGTTGTTTTCTTTTGTTTGTTTTGTTTTTTGAGGAAGGGTCTTGCTATGTAAACCAATTCCCCTTCCTTAGCCCCTCAAGTCCAGGACTATAAGCATGAGCCAATATGTCTGACATCACGCTCTTGTGTTTGCTCATTTCATCCATTTCCTGTGACCTAACTTCCTCTGCGAGCCCACTTCCTCCTAGCAGTGTCCCACCCCTTCCCAGCAGCACTGAATACTCAGGCCACCATGGGTATTCATGAACTAAATTGTAGCAAGTGGATCATGTCAGACAGGCTCCAATGTCAATTCCACAATCTTTCCATTGGCTAAAGAGGAGACAATGTCAGCATCAAACTAACAAATTTAGTAGGGTGGACTTTATCAGATATGATCAAATGCATCAGCTCATAATGATTCCAAAAAAAGAAAAAAATTAAGACCAGAATTCAGTTACCTCTGAAGAAATCAAAGAACCATTATTCTAAAAATAATCACTCGTGTGTCCATGGCACACTACACCCCTGTAGTGTGCTTTGGGTTTTCTCCCTTTAACCCAGTGCTCTGTTGACACAATCAGCCTGTGGTGCTGTGAACCACTGTTGAGTTTGCTCTTGTTTAGAGTCTTTTTGTAATGTATCAAGTTCATCTGTAGAACCAAAACACAGTATCTCTCTGTTTCCCCATCCCTCCCGTCATTTTCCTTCCAACTTTGGGAACACAGTTCTGAAGGGTAATCTGCTGTTATTCCATTTACTCGCTTTTGCATGAAAAGATAAAAAGTAAATATTTATATAGTCATCTAGCTTACTGATAAAATTGGTGACTTGAAGTCACAAAATGCAGACAACTTTGGCCATCTGCCCTGGATCCTACACCAGATTATTTATAGTAATTTTACTGGTTAGCAAAAAGTCATCCGTGGAAGTACAGCTTGTAAACTCATAAACTTAATTTATTATACTCATTAATTTTTATAATGACTTCAGTAGCCATTTAATGTGCACTGATGAACCTGATGTCATTCACAAGGGCCGTTACTTTCTCAACCGCAGATTTTTTTTAGCTAAAGCACCACGTGTCAACTTATGTAAATTATCTAATTTTTCCTCAATTCTATTTATTTATTCAAAACTACAAAGGGGTGAATTAGAAGAGAAATTAATTTAATTTAATTAAGCACTCCATCTGTTATTGTGGGTTGATTGTTTCCACACTTGCTCTTCATTAAAATGCTGGGAATAAATGAGTTTGTTTTGATATTTCCTTTCTTGTTATCTAAGCAGATAAAAATCTTTCAAGTAGCTTGAGAGTGGGAGTGGCTAACCTCCCTGGCAATTCCAGCACTTGGGAAGATTGAGGCTCTGAATTCAAAGCCCACCTGGGCTATACATGAAGCCACTATCTTTAAAACAAAACAAAACTCACCTAGTGGTATCACAAGCATCTTAGTCTGCAGCATTCTCTATGATGTTTGGACAAACAAAAAAAAAAAAAAAATCATACCCTAATATGTTGTCCCTCCCTTAACACTTAACATCGACACCACCAATGACCTGTTAGAGTGCATGAAGGGGGCGGTCCTACAGAACAATACCCGTAAGATCTCCATGACTCAGAGCCACAGCAGGGTATCTGAGAGGAGTTTGGTGAGGGTACAATGATGTGTCAGAAGACATGAACCAGACCAATGACTCATTGCAATGACCGTTCTGTGGGTGGGACTGAGTGGACAAAGGGTGCACTGTGTGACACACTGCAGCCCCTGATGCCACTAGGATGAAGGAAGAGGTGTTGGGAAGACGGAGGATCAAGGTGTGTGTGTGTGTGTGTGTGTGTGTGTGTGTGTTGTCCTGTTCTTAATTTATTAGGGGGGGTTCTGACGGGAGATGTCAACAAAAGTCCTGGAAGAAGAAAACACGGCCTATAGGGAAGCAAGATAGGTGAGACTAGGAGACAAGGAGGATTCTGGGAAACGTAGTAGAGAAGAGTTGAAATGCAGGACACAAGGCTAGCCAATAAGACATGCTAATAAGAGGCCAACAGCTTTACATCTAATACAGCGTCTCTGTGTGTTATTTGGGGCTGATGCAGCTATGGGAGCACACTGGTGGGAAAGTGCTTGAAACAGGGGTCCTTTGTGGAGCGATGCTGTAGGAGTGCGGGGAGGGTATGGACAAACTGGGAGATGAGTGGGAATGGGGTACATGAGTGAAATTCCAAAGAATCGATAAAGAATTGTGTTATAAAAAATAAATAGCCAATTCTCAAAACATATCCATGCATTATTCATGATATATTACTATATACAGTATTTGCCTTCCCAGTTAATAATATAAAGGACAAAGAACATAATTTACCTCTTTTTAACTGACACAGAATAATCTGTATATATAAAATACCTGTATATATAAAAATTTTTAAATGAATTTTTATTTTATATTTAAATTTTTTAAAATATAACTAAACTAATTAATAGATAATTAAATGGTAATTTCCTCTATTTCAACAATCTCCAACAGTTATATCAGAACTCTGTTGTGAGGAAGCCCAGCATGGTGATGCATGCTTATGTTCCCAGGCTTAGAAGGGCAAGCAGGTCAGAAGTTCAAGGTCAACTTCAGCTACATGATTATGAAGTCACTCTGAGCTCCAAGAGACTTAATCTTACAATATACACAACTGTAATAAACAAAAGGAATTTTGAGGACATAAAATAAGAATTAGTAATTTCTATAGAACTGGATTTCACATGTAACTAGAAACCAACTCTCAAGTATTTCCTTTTGAATCTTGACTTAAATGTGGCTTAGGACTGGAGAGATAGCTCAACAGGTAAGGTTGCTACCCACCAAGCTTGATGATCTGAGTTCAATTCCTGGGACCTACACAATGGAAAAAGAACAGATTCCCTCAAGTTGTTCTCTGATCTCCACATGTGTGTTTTGGCATGCACACACTCATACATATACCTATCTACCTACATACACTCATACACACATGAAAATACCCACATAAAATATAATTTTTGAATGTTGCTTGATTGTTTGCAATTGACAATCTCATGTGACTAGAATCAGTGAAACTAAAGGTGTCCCCCACCTCCTGTGGGAAGCAGGCTGGGCTATTCCTATGAGCAAAATAACTATCCCCATGCCAACTCCCACCCCACCATCAGAGGCAAAGAACAGCAACCAAACATTTTCCGCATGTGACCTGGGTTTGTAGACAACTGAGCCACAATGTGCTTCTCTCCTAGAGAGAAGAGACCCATAAGTCCTGATGCCCTCCATACTCAAGCTGCATTTGTCTGCAGGAACATGCCTAACCACCAGCAAAGGTGTGAGCCGGGCTGCTCCAGCTCTTTTCCATGCATGAGATTTTCTTCCATAAGTACATTTATGGCTTATGGTCTATCTCTGTGTTCTAGTAAATAGTCCTAACTACACCTTACATTGTTATATTTGATTATAATATTCAAAAACATTTAATATTGCCATGTATTTCTAGCAAAATATCCTCCTGTATAACAACAACCCCCCTCAAAAGCTACAAAACCCCATTTCAGCCAACCAGACCCTGAAAGGATGACCCAGTACACACTAAGAGAGGCATCATCTCTAAAAGGTCAAGAGAAGGGGCACACTCCCGGGATGTTCTCCTTAGCGATAGTCTCCTCATACTCCTGTCAGAGTTGCTATCAGCAAGAGTATCTTAGCAGTGAACTCGAGATTCCCACACCCCAAGAAAACCAAAGCACCAACCACCTGGAATCTTAAGGCTGTTGCCTTTCAACACCTTTACTCCCAGCACTCTGGAGGCAGAGGCAGGCTGATCTCTGTGAGTTCGAGGCCAGCCTTTTCTACAGAGGGAGTTCCAGGACAGCCAGAGCTGCTGAGACAGAAACTCTGTCTCAAAAAGACAACAGAGAGAAGTGGGGGGAGGGGCAGGCAGTAACTCAGAATTACATCTCAAAGGTTTTACAGGGGCTGAGGAGGTGGCTCCTGGGGAAAGTGCTTCTTGCAGAAGCACAAGGACCAGCATTTAATCCTGGGCACCGCATCAAAGCCAGGCACAGCAGGATGTGACTGTGACCCCAGGGCTGGGAGGCAGGGACAAGCCTAGGGCTTCCTGCCCAGTCAGGCCCAGCTGGATCTGTGAGCTGCAGGGTCAATGAGAGACCGAATCTGCAAAAACCTAAGGTAGAAAGGGATTAAAAGAGACAATGCCATTGTCCAGCCACCACATGCATACACAACTGTGCATACACACAAGAAAAGAAAGGTTTTATAAAGAAATACTTGTACACTGCTGTATGTTTAACTCCTTATACGCATTTTGTCTTTTGATCATCAATATGAACTAAACAAGAAGGAATTACAATCTGCATTTTAGAGTTAAAGTCTCACTCACACAGTTTAAATGACCAAAGTCACACAAAGAGAAAATTTAATAATCAAAACTGAAGACAGTTCAATTCCTCCCCTTACCTACTGGAAGGACTGGAGCTTTGAATCTGAAACCCGTCTTCCCACAGAAAAAAAATCTTTCACTCTGCAGTCCGGAATATAAGCTAACATTCAAATAGCTTTAAAGCACCTAAGACCTACAATATCAAAGTGTGCTGTAATACTCCACAGGTAAGAATGGATTTTAGTAGACTGGCCTAAGCCCCTCTTTACATGGGACATTTACATTTACCATTCATTGCTCTAGTAAGAACTATACCAGATCCTGCCAAAAAGAAAAAGTGAAATCCTGCTTGCATAAAAAAGGGCCACCCTTCCCAAGGCCCACCCTGAGCAGAAGCAGCCACCCTTTTCAAAGGATGAGGTGAACACAGGTCCCAAAGCTTCCTGGTACATGATGGGCACTGATCTCATCAGTAGACCTGAGGCCACAGAGACTACAGAACAGTTTGTTCTCTGGGATCCGAGGAGGATTCCTTACTCACACCTACTGCAAGTTGTTCTGAATAGGTTTCATCTCTTTGTAGAAGACAGAGTCCTAGTCATCATGTATAGTTCTATTTCCACAGTGACGTGAAGTTTCTGTTTTAGTGTTTCAAACAAATATTGGTTACATAAAGTTTATCCAGCTCATGGATGGGTGGACAGAGACTGAATGCATAGCAACATGCCTACACAAACCCAAAACCCATTAACCATTTATACTGGATAGGTACTTCCACTTCCGAAACTGCAAGTGGCTCTAAAGAAATAAAGTGGGTCATTATAAACCACGAAATCTGCTAGATCCATGACTTTCAGAAGTAATTACAGAATGATCTGTTCTAAAATTTTGTAAGCCATTTCTTTCTTTGTGTGTGTGCAGGTTAGCCATTTATTTATTTATTTGTGAGCCATTTCTTTGTGTGTGTGAGAGAGAATTATTTTTTCTTTTTTTTCATTTCTAATTACCTGTGACAGTTTTCACAACAATGTATCAGATAACTGTTAGCACTCAAAAGCACGACAAGTATTTAAAATGAAACAAAGATGAAATGCAAGAGTACATGTGCAATCTACTTCCAAATCTCTGTTTAACACAGTACTTACTTCCACAGTCATCTTGAATATCTACAGTAGCAAACGGCATGTCTGTCAGAGAATCCACAGTGCTGCCTTCTAATTCCCCTGATACCTTCTCTTCTCTTAGCACACTTTCATACTGATTGGAATTCATTCCTCCTACAACAAACCAGAAAAAGCAACAAATATTATTGAACTGTTATGGTCATACGCCTTCCTAGAAACCAAAATAGCCACGTGAACAATAAATACATAGCAACCTGCAAGAAGAGAGGGTGTGACTTGCTCTTTAACAGTCTCACTGTTAAAGGTGCATCTTTAGTAAGCTTCCCCCTCCCCCAATCCCTTCTAAAGCAGGGTTCAGTGGGGCCTAGTGACAAGACAGTAAACCAGTTATCTTCCATCTTTAAAAGCCATAGTTTTTTCAGAACACAACACAATGAAGTGTGTTGTCTGTTCACTTGTTTCTTGTGTTCTTTTCGTGGGGACTTTAAAAACATTCATGTAATGCTGTTTTGTTAGCATATATTAATTATACATTACAGGTTTCATTGTGACATTGTCTTAAGTGAATGTGGTCAATTTTTACCATGGCCGCTCTCTCTCTCTCTCTCTCTCTGTCACACACACACACACACACACACACACACATACACACACACACACACTTCACCCTCTCATCCCTTCTCACTTACATTCTGAGTTCTAATTTCTATAAGCACTTGTCTTTTTCTTCCATAAATTCTTCCACTCTACATTAAACTTAATACTGGAAAACTAGTTAAAAATACTTGACTCTAGGAGCCAGTGAGATGGCTTAGTGGGAAAAGGCTCTTGCCATAAAGGTCTGGCAACCTGCATTGGATCCCTATTACACATGCAAAGGTGGAGAAAACCAATTCTAATTGTTCCCTGGCCTCCATACAAAGGTCATGGCATGCATGCCCTCCCATGTACACAAGAGATTTATTTTACTTAAGATTTGTTTGTTTATTATGTGTACATGTATGCCTACAGGCCAGAAGAGAGCATGAGATCCCACTATGGATGGTTGTGAGCCACCATGTGGGTGCTGGGAATTGAACTCAGGACCTCTGGAAGAGCAGACAGTGCCGTTAACCTCTGAACCTTCTCTCCAGCCCCCACAAGAGATTTTAAATACATGGTTCTAAATATTCATTTCTTGAAAATCAGCGATGAGACTCAAATCATCCTCACGGTATTTTGTAACAACCCTCCCATGTCACTCACTAAGTCACATTTCGCATTTGGTCTTTGTTCTCTTGTTATGGGCGGAACACCCACAATGTCGTGGTTAGGGGGCTCAGGAAAAAAAGACTTGAACTGATAAAGTCAATCGCTAAGTTTGTCTGGTGGTGGTCTCCCCAGTACCATTATTCACCATACCGCAAGTAGTAGACATAAAAGTTATTTGGACTGAACAAAACCCAGGAATACTTACATAATTTTCACCCAGTATAATGAATGAAGAACTTGCCCTGCAGACTATTAAAGAAAACATATATCTCCTTCTGTTGTAATCCTCTATTTTCAAATGCCATTACTGCAAAACACATTCCATTAAGAATATGGTTAACATGGCTGGAGAGATGGCTCGGGGGTTAAGAGAACTGGCTCTCTCCCAGAAGACCTGAGTTCAGTTTCCAGGGTCCACATGGCTCACAGCAATCTGTTAATTCCAGTTGCAGAGGATCCAACACCTTCTACTGACCTCTGATGGCACTGCAAGTATCTAGTACACAGACATAACACACAGGCAAAGCAGCCACACACACACACACACACACACACACACACACACACACACACACTGACAAATCTGAAGGAGGAGGAGGTGACTCCTTACAGGGCTAGAAAGATGGTTCCATGATTAGCAGCACTTGTTGCTCTTCCAGAGGACCAGGGTTCATTTCCCAGTATCCAGCTCCAAGCACCAACATCTGGAAACTCACCACTGCCTGTAACTCCAGTTCTGGAAATTTCACACTCTCTTCTAGCCTCCTTAGGCATCTGGATACTGCACCATACACACATTCAGGAGCACACACACACACACACACACACACACACACTAAACAAATCTTTAATTACTGGGAAGTAGTTGAGAAGTATAGCACCTCATATGAACAAGGCCCTAGTTTCAATCCCTCGCATCCCAAAATTTAAATAATTTAAACAAAAAATAATATAGCCTGCAAAGTGGGACTATCCAGGTGTGTCCTAGTGATTAGGAGACCGAGGAGAATGATCTCAATTTCAAGTCTTTTCCACAGCATGAGTTCAAAGCCAGCCTGGGCACCACTGGCCTTAGTTTTAAAAACATACTCTAGCTCCTCTACCTTCTCCTCCAGACAGACAAAAAGTAAAATAGAAGATTGGGGATATAGGTCAGTGGTACAGTGTCTTCCTAGCAAAGTATAAGGCCCCAGGACTTTTTAAAATGTATATTATCTATTTTACAATATAACAGTGATTCTCATAATCATTCACAGTTAATATGCATACTAAAAATATACATTTTTATTATAATTTGAGTGATTTCTCAAATTATTCACATACACACCTGTTTTCTGGATTTTAAAAAGGGACAGTATCTTTTTCAGTCATGTTCAGTATCAAAAAGCCACTAAGACACTAGTCACACAATTCAGACTGTAAGAAGTATGGTGCACTGTGGTGATTTGAATGAGCATCCCCCCCCCCATATGCTCATACATTTCAATGCTTTGTCCCGTTTAGTAGAACTGTTTGGAAAGGATTAGGAAGTATGGCCTTTCTGGAGATGTGCCACCAAGAGTGGGCTTTGAGGTTACACAACCCATGTCATGCCATCTCAATTAGCATGCAGTCTGTCTGTCTGTCTGTCTCTCCCTATCTATCCTTCCCTCCTCCTCCCCCCTTCCCTTCCCCCTTTATCTCTTTCTCCTTCCTTTCCTCCTCTCTTTCCATCCCCCCCTCCTTCCCCTTCCTCCCTCTCTCTCTCTCTTTCTCTCTCTCTCTCTCTCTCTCTCTGCCTCATGGTAGTTGTCTAAACATATAAACTCTCGGCTACCATTCCAGCACCAAGCATGCATGCCTGCCTGCCGCCCTGCTCCCTGAGATGGTCATGGATTATTCACTTCCTGAAACCATAAGCAAGGGCCCCAATTAAACGTTTTCTTTTATAGGCTGCTTTGGTCATGATGTCTCCTTATAGCAATGGGAAATTAATAAGACAGAGTGTCTGGTACATATATGTCCAACAAATTTTAGATTACTATAGTCTACTCACCAGCCCAGAATACTTGAAAGTCATGAGAATAAGTCAAATGTGCACTTTCTGTGTCTATACAAGCATTTTGAAACACAAATGCAGTTTAGACTTAAAAGTTTAAAAAGATCAATGTGCATCTTGAATCTTTACAGGCAGCTCCATATGGAGGACCATCACCCACAGGCAGCTTATATACACAAAGCTTTTAACAAAAGAACACTTGTAAGCCAGGCATGGGAACACATGCATGTCTCTAATCCTAGCACACAGAAGAATAGTGAACTCAAAGCCAGCCTGCACTACAGACTAAGACTGTAACTCAAAATACAATACCAATAATAAAGAAATCTTTAAAGGGCTTATCCCAGTGGCACATGCCTTTAATCCCAGCACTCTGGAGGCAGAGGCAGGCATATTTCTGTGAGTTCAAGACCAGCCTGGTCTACCAGAGGTAGTTCCAGGACAGCCTTCAAAGCCACAGAGAAACCCTGTCTCAAAAAACAAAACAACAACAACAACAAAGTGCTTATACAATTAAACACATTACACATATACTACCCATAACATATATGAAGGCTGCATAGAAACTAGAATTAAAGAAGTAAACCCAACTATGACTCCTATTTTATGATCATTTAATGATAGCAAATAGTCCCGGTATGATACTAGCATGTCAATACTATTTCCTGCATCTACATGTGCTGTGTGGAAAGGTCCTGACTTATAATGGCTTCAAGTACAACTTTTCAACCTCCCGACAATGCACAAGCTGGCTGCCATTCCTACTACTGTGACTGGAGGGAACTTCTCAGAGCCAAAGAGGCAGGGCATGGGGTGGGTTCAGGCTCTCAGAGCCAAAGAAGCAAAGTGTGGGGTGGGTACAGTCTCCTGAGTCTGAGGGATTCGATCAGAATCTTGTTATCTGTTCAACTTTCCTTCCTGACAGCTATTCAGGAAAGCAGTGAACACTGATTAGAAATATTCAAATTTGGGTGTTGATCTCTTCCCAGACTGGGAAATGAGGTCCACCCCCCTCTTGTGATGCTGGCAGTAAACCCCAGCTCCCAGGTGGCCCCATGATCTTGAGATGAAAGAATCAATACTCTAGAGTGGACCGTGTTGCTAAACAATGATGTTCAGCAGGCTAGGTATACTTTATGGCCTACTTCCCCCTTAAAGAAAGCCTTGCCTTAGGTCATAAGTGCTAGGATTTGGGCAAAGGCCAAGGGATATAACTAAATGCATCCATCACAACCCCTCTGCCTCTTACACAAGGCATAAAGACTTCACTTTGGAAAAACTGCCTTCAAACAGGTGATTGTTAAGCATGTAAACCATAAATCCATTGTTGTGACTGCTATGTTGCTTAAATAAGCTGGGCCTATAACCCCAGGTATTTGGAGGGCTGAGACAGGACTGGACATTCAAAAGCACCCTATGCAAGTAACTTAGTGAGATTTTTGTCTCAAATGAAAAGTTAATGAAGCCTGGGATAGACCACCATGAGAGCCCTTGTTTGCCAGGTACCAGGCTGAGATTCAACTCTACAAATTAAGTAAATAAATTAAGTCACCTAGGCCAGGCACGTTGAGTCACACCAGGAATCCCAGCACTTGGAGGCAAGGGCAGGAGGAGCAGGAGGACAGGTTACCCTTAGCCTGACCTACATGGCACAAAAAGTTTTAGTCACCCAAAATCTGTTTTATCATTAATTAAAACAAAAGTTATCTTTTGTACAAATCCAAACCACAGGGGTAACAAAGATGAACAGAAACTGGAAATTAGAATTACTAACACTAACCAATACTTAAACAGGTACTTTATACTGGGCACACTCAACTAGGCTCACTTTGGGAAGTCACTTAATTGATACAACTATGCCATCAGGGAAGGCTGTTACTATGCCAGCTAGATGATTTAGTCACTTGCCCACAATCAAAGTAGATTCAGGAGCTGCCATCTGGATCAAGTGAATCTGTTACATGACCCACAATTTCCAGAATCAACTATGCCATGTACCCTCTACCTTGCCATGTACTGACTGCAGAACTGTAAACTGAGGCAGATCTTTCAGAAAGCAATGGGCACATAGATCTGGCCCAAGAAGATGGTCTACGGTTCTTACAAAAGTGTGGGTCTCTATCATAGACACTCTAACAAGACTCCTCACAACCTGGCTTGAAGGAAAAAGAAAAGTCACTTCAATGCCAAATAGATAGCACTGCATACTCTGGTGACTGTCACAACAGAGGAAAGGTGACTCCCAGACAAACAGATGTGTGGAGGCTGCAAAGATGGCTCAGAGGTTAAGGGCAGGCTGCTCTTCCAGAGGTCCTGAGTTCAATTCCCAGCAAACTCATGGTGGCTCACAGCCATCTGTAATGAAATCTGGTGCCCTCTTCTGTCTTGCAGGCAGACACACATGCACGCATAACACTGTATACATATTAAAGAATGAAAAAAATGAGGTCAAGGGTCTAGGTCTGGTGGACTCAGTGTGTACAAAGCCCTATGTTTGGTCCCCAGCATTATATAAATAGACAAATGTAAGATTAACTAAAAGCAGGGGAAAACTGCATGCTCTCAAGATTTACAGTTAGAAGGGGGAAGAACACAGGCTGGAAAGTACTTCTGAATGCTAAACACTTACCAACTGAACTGCTCTACTAAATTGTTTTTAAACTGAATGTTACTTTTATAAGTAAAACTGCCAATGTGTATATTTAAAGTGTCTTCTATGACTTGACAGATTTACATGACCCCACCTGGATGGCATTGCCCTACATGTGGAATTAGGGTAGGGGTGGGTGGGAGAGGAGGGGAGGGTGGGAGGGGTGCATGTGAGGGGGGAGGGGGGAACTGGGATCGACAAGTAAAATAAAAAAAATTAAAATGTCTTCTAAAATATCACCTAAGTACCATCAAATACTCAAATCATAGGTCCACTTCAGCCAATGATACCGTCAAAGTCAAGGGAACAGAAAACATAAAGGCAGACACAGTAAGCAAGGCTCTCTTCTGATCCCTGAGCTAAACAGCTATAAGAACAGCTTATCATTTACGGTGGTCTAGCTACTGTGGTCTAGCTACTCCAATTAGCTGCTAAAAACAGAATCATAGCAGGGCTCCAGAAACGTTTAAACTTCAAGGCAATCAAGCCACTTAACCTTCATGCTTCCTCTTCCTCATCATGAAAAGGGAACAATCTAAATTACTAGAGATTGACAGTAAGGACCCTGTAACTTCAACAAGCACCGAAAGCTTTGTTACTATATGGAAAAGATGTAAGATTATGCTAACAGCATCCTAAACTGCAAAGCCACACTGTGTAAGTAAGTGGGTGGGAAGCAAGCCTCCTCTCTCCTTCCGTGTCTGCCCTATTATCTACGCCTCTGCACCTCTTGGGGGACGGGGGATGTCAAGCAGCAACACTTTGGCATCTCCCACAAGATATGGATCTTTCCATTCACATGAAAGTTATAAACATGAAAGTTCCTTTCACTCAAAGTCCAGCCCCCAATTCCTACCCAAGTTCAACACAAGGCAAAAGTTCTCCCAAGCCAAGTTCATTCTGGGTGCCAGCAAATTGGCGCCAGCTTTAAAAAGTGCTCATTTCCAAACCTCGAATAAAAACCTAAATGATACAAGATGGTGTTCAGATGTTTCTATCTGCCATTAAAAACAAAAAGAATACAATAGAGATTTCTCTTCTTGGTTTCTCTTATCACCCCAACACAGTAGGAAAGAATGTTGCAAAAACTTTGGGCCGTGGGTCATGAGATTCGAAGAGGTAAAAGAAACTACAACTCGGAATCACACCCCGCGTCACCCTCGGTGTGGAGTAGTGCACCGTGACGCATCGCTGCAAGCATGGTGCCCTGAGCACCGGGGTGCACCGGGCTGCAGGCACAGCGCAGTGTCGGGGTGCAGGAGTGGAGGAACGCGAGGGGCGTGGGGCTGCGGGAGGCCTGGGAGGCGGGGCGGGGCGGCGAGCACGCCCCACGGCAGAGGCGGCCCGGGGCGCGCGTGGCGGGGCGCTCGCTCTCACCCGCTGCGGGGCGCTCCATGGTCGCGGCGCGGAGGAAGAGACGGAGGCCCGGGGAGCGCGGGGCGGCGGGGGCACTGGCTGCGGCGGCCAGGCCTGCGGAGGCCCGGAGCCCAGCAAGGCGCAGCATCCCCGGCACCCGCCGCTTCGGGAGGAGCCGGAAGGGGCCGAGCCGCATGGGCGCGGGTACCCGGATTGGGGCCGGGCTCGGGAGGCGGGGCCGTCCCCGGGGCCGCCCAGGGCTCCGACCTCTGGCCGCCCTCCGTTGTTTCCTGCGGCGCGGCCCTTCCCGTCCCACGCTTCGAGGGGCGAGATTGGGACGGGCTGAAAGCATTCCTTGGCCGGCTGTCTCTTGAGAACCCGGGTGTTTGGTTTAGCCTGGAGCTTTGAAAACAGTTCTGATTGCAAAATATGTGGGAAGAGCGACGTGTACAAGAGCAAGTCTTGTACGTCGGTATAATAAGGAGCTTTATTTACTTTGTTTTACAAATTGGAACGCAGTCTGGTTTGGGTTTTTTGGGTTTTTTTTTTTTTTTTTTTTTTTTTTTTTGTTTTGTTTTGGTTTGGTTTGGTTTTGGTTTTTTGTTTTTCTTTCTTTCTTTTTGGTTTTTCGAGAGAGGGTTTCTCTGTATTGCTTTGGAGCCTGTCCTAGAACTTGCTCTGTAGACCAGGCTGGCCTCGAACTCACAGAGATCTGCCTGTGTCTGCCTCCTGAATGCTGGGATTAAATGCTTACGCCACCAATGCCTGTCTCAGTCTGAAATTTTTAGCAGCAGTTTAATAGCTACAAGTTGGAATAGCTAGATGAGTGGAAATCATCTACTGCGTTTTGCAGAACAGGGTCCTCAGTATCTAAGTAAAATGGAAGAGAAAGCAATTTACTTTAAAAATAGTAAGATATGAATATTTTTTGTCTTAGTACAGAATACTACTGGTTTTTCCCAATTAGGGGTGAATGGTGGTGTTATTGGATTTGTTTAGGTTTTGTTGTTGTTATTGGTGGTGGTGGTTTGTTGGGGGGGGCGTTGTTGGGAGCAAGCAGGTAGTTATGCCTAGTTGGTATAGCAAAAGTTATATTTTATTATTCTGAGGGTCATCACACAAGATTTATACTCTTAAGTTCCTAACTACGGTCCTAAGCCTATCGCCTCAAGGCTGTTCACCTGTGGTTCGTATCTTAGGTGAAGTCTCCCATTTGAGGGTCAGGAGCCTGGGGGAGACTCCATCTACAGGGCAGATCAAGGTGGTGTCTCTCGAGATGTGCAGAATATAGCATTGCTCTTGGTCTCTACTTAAATACTGCCCAGTGGTTGGTGTGGTGTTCTAGTCATCTGTCAGGTTGTCTTAAGTGAATGACACCACTTGGCTCTGGTTATCAGATGAGTTTCCTAACTAAGCAATTTTTACATATCTAAAGGGTATGATTTTCTATGCTCGGTACAAGGGTTGCATGTTTTAATTCAAGAAGAAACAGGCTGCTGTATAGAGAACAACAAACTGATCCAGCCCACTTTGAGAACACTTCATTTATCATGAATATATCCCAGAATGGGCAGGGAAACAAAGAAGACCACTGCCACATCATTATAGTAATTGACACAAGTTGTCTTAGTGGGACAGCCTTCGTCACCACACTCAGGAACTGTGTAGCTAGAGTTCAGGGCCAACTTGGGGGTACATAGCCTGTTCCAGGTCATCTTGACCTACATAGTAGGACCCTGTTTTTAAAAACCAGTCATTATAAATTGACATGAAAACCATACACTAGAAAACCTCCAAGGGGTTTACTATGGCCTCTGGCTGTCTGTTTGCTGTATCTGTAGTACTAAGAAGCTGATAAATAGATAGAGTTACTTACTTAATGTTTGAGGTTTCAGCCCTTTGTGTGCGTGTGAGATTGTGTTTTTAGAGGAGCAGAGAAAAATAAAATAAGCAAGGGAGACAGGAGGGTCTTGAATTCAAAGGCCAGCCTAGGCTGAGTTCAAGACCAGCTGAGCTGGGTAGGGTGAGGACTATGCCACTTTGGCATAAGGATAAGTTGGCGCTGAAAGCAACTTGGACTCCACAGACAGAGAAACTTTGCCCTTCCCTTTTCTGCCTGGAAGTAGAACATACGTTTCTCTTAGTAAGGAATTTTTTTTTTTTTTTAAATGTGACTGGAGAGTAGGGACAGCAGACTGAAACAGCAAGATTAAGATGTAAAGGAAGCCAGAAGCCAGTTTGCAAAGTCTGGACCCGCCACCCCACCCCCAGGCTTTGTAACAACAGCACAATCCGGAGGAAATAATGCTATATGCACCTGGGAGAAGTGGGCGCTACGCCTCACGTGTGGTCGGTGTTTGGGGGCTTCTTTCCTCAGCGCACAAGCCGACTCCTATACTTCCTCCCTTAAAAAAGCAAAAGCAAAGCACAATGTTTCTATTTCTAACCCTGTATCTGTGCTCAGATCCTTAGGGTTGTGACATAACTTCCAGTGGTAGGATTGGGCCACCAACCCAGCCATAAAACCTTCAACCTGCGTGTGGATTGTAATCTGTCCTGCCCGCAAGGTGTGCTGGGGGCAATCAAGGCCCAAGATCTGCGGAGTAGCCAACAGATGACATGTCTAATTTGAGACCCATACCAAGAAATGAAGCCCTTGTCCGAAACTGCATGGATGACCAGGAATCGGAGGCTGGCTATCCCTGAGGAATAGGATAGAAAAGATGAAAACAAACAAGCAAACAGATTCCTAATGATAATCTGCTATATTCATAGGTCTGGCGCCTAGCCCAGTCGTCATCAGAGACGCTTCCTCAAGCAGCTAATGGGAGAGATGCGGAAACCCACAGCCAATCATTAGGCCCAGAGAGAGCCCATACTGGAGATCTCCATCAGGACCCTGGAGCCCAGAGGAAGAGGGGGGAGAAAGAATTGTAGGAGGCAGAGTGGTTGGGGTTACCAGGAGAACATGGCCACAGAAATCAACTATGCAGTGTTCATGCGGGCTCACAGAGACTTGAAGTGGCAACCACTGAGCTTGCAAGGATCTGTCCTAGGCCCTCTGCAATATGTTACGGTTGCCGGCTTGGTGTTGAGGAACTCCTAACAGTGGGCGTAGGTGTGTCTCTGACTCTGTCTTTCACCTGTTCTTGGATCCCCTTTCCTCCTACTGGGTTGCCTCGTCCAGCACTGATAAGTAAGCCTAGTCTTACTATAATACGTTATACCACTTTTGGTTGATATCCCTGAGAGACCTGTTCTGAAGGGGGACAGGAGTTGTGGATCTGGGGGAGGGGGGGAATAAGCCCCTCAAGGCATGTGACTGGCCAGGGTTTTCCCCAGGCTATTCTAAGGGTCTTAATGGCTGATTGCAGCCCCTCAAGACACCGGCATGCAAGCTCCACCCTACAGGAAAAAAAAGCCCAAGATCAGGCTACAGAAGCCCACTGATCCCAGACCACCCTAGAAAGCTCCATTTCCCAGAGATACCCTATATAAAGCCCGCCTCCTGCTCAGTTCTTTGCTGCTTCTCTGCCAAGCAGTGGCAGCGCCCTCTTGTGGCTTTCACAATAAATCACCTGTGTGAGGTTTGTTGCGTGGTTGTGACTGCCAGGGCACCTTTCTTTCCCTTAAGAGCTGTAACACTTCTGGGCCAGGTGGGGGGTGTTGAGTGAAAACAACCCCCATAGGCCATTAATGGCACTATTAGGAGGAATGGCCTTGTTGGAGTAGGTGTGGCTTTGTTGGAGGAAGTATTCACTGGGGGCAGGTTTTGAGGTCTTAGATGCTCAAGCCAGGCCCAGTGTCTCACTCTCTTCCTGCTGCCTGCCAATTTGGATATAGAACTCTCAGCTACATCTCCAGCATCATGTCTGCCTGCATGCCACCATGCTTCCCACCCTGATGATAATGGACCTCTGAACTATAAGCCAGCCCCAATTAAATGCTTTCTTATAAGAGTTGCTGTAAGGAGTAAGGACCCACCGCAGCACCAGCCCCAATTAACACACAGAGACACTGTATTTGATATAACGCTGTTGGCCAGTTACTTGTTTCTTATCGGTTAGCTCTGTCTTAAGTATTAACCCATTTCTATTAATCTAAGTACTTCCATGTGGTCTCAATTTACCGGAGAGTAGGCCCGGACCTCTGTTCTCCAGTCTCTACATGCTGACTCCTCCCTACTACTTCCTCGAATCCTCCTTGTCTCCTAGTCCCGCCTATCTTGCTTTCCTATTGGCCACAGTGCTTTATTCATTAACCAGTATGAAAAACATATTTACAGAATGACATCTCCCATCAAGTTGCTGTGGTCTTGGTGTCTCATCACAGCAAAAGAAACTCTAAGATGGGGACAGGAACTGGGAGAAGTAGAGGGAAGGGAAATTGTGGTTGGGTATATTGTATGAGAGAAGAATTTTTTTAAAAAGCCTGCAATAGGGTGCCCTCTGAACTCAGATTCAAGGGTAGGCACTAAGCATGACTTTCCCTTTCCTCTGTTTTTCTGTTATTGGTCAATGTCTAAGCATGCTCTCTGCCTCTCTGGCCTTTCTCACTATTTCTCTGACCTCCATTCCAAATTTAAAAAACGTGATTGATATCTCAACTTTGCTCTTCCCAGCATTGGCCAGGGTTTACAGCTCCCCTGCCCTGATTGTTTTCCTCTCAAACTCTGTGCTGGCTAGTCTTATGTCAGCTTGGCACACAAACTAAAGTTATCTGAGAGGAGGGACCTCAACTGTGATAATGCCTCCATAAGATCCAGCTGTAAGGCGTTTTCTTAATTAATGATTGATGGGAGAGGACTGAGCCCACTGTGGGTGGGGAAACCCCTGGGCTAGTGGTCCTGGGTTCAGTAAGAAAACAGGCTGAGCAAGCCAGGTGTTAGTGGCACACACCTTTAATCCCGGCACTAGAGAGGCAGAGGCAGGTGGATCTCTGTCAGTTCAAGGCCAGTCTGGTCTACAGTGCAAGTTCCAGGACAGGCTCCAAAGCTACACAGGGAAACCCTGCCTTGAAAAACCAAAGAAGGAGAGAGAGAGAGAGAGAGAGACAGACAGACAGACAGACAGAGGCTGAGCAAGTCAGTAAGCAGCTCCCCTCCACAGGCTCTGTGTCAGATCCTGCCTCGGGGCTCCTACTCTGAGTTCCTGTTCTGGCTTCCTTTGATGATGAACAGTGATGTGGAAGTATAAGCCGAATAAATCCTTTC